GAAAGTTTTTTCTGAAAATAATTTTTGTTTGGCGAAAGATTTGGCGAAAGATTAAATATGTATTTTTGTATGAATGTTTATTTGTTTTCTGTATAGCTGGTGGTAGTAACTTAGAAGCTAGATGAATTGTGGAAATTAAATTACTTGTTGCTGGTGCGGCTGCTACTTTTATTATTACTATTATTACTATTATTAATACTACTACCACGACCACTATTACTACCACTACCATTATTATTACCAGTACCATTATCACTACCATTACCACTACCACTACCACTACCATTACTATTATTACTACTACTACTACTATTATTCTTGTTTTTGCTTTGGGGGGTGGCTTTATCACAAAACTCTACTCCGCAGTTTGGCAAAAATTTAACTTAAGATTGGCGAAAATTCACCTTGCCACATCTGACCCCTAGCCCATTATGAGTAAGTTTGAGTGATCGGCTACTACAGTGATTCTTGCAATTTTGATTCTTGTTGACACCCAGGAGAAACAAAAGAGCCGTACAGGGTGTCAACAGTTAAGTAGAAGACCCATGCTGACAAGCAATGAAATTTCTATTTTGGGTTTGCCAGTGAAGAAGAAGCCATTGACGTGAACAAAACACAATATACATGCCACACATAAATACAACGTACTTCGGCGAAAGATAAAACGCAGGAAGGCGAAAGTTTGGCGAAAACAATTTTTTTTTTTGGCGAAAATAACGGATCCCGGATAAAGGAATTTAGATTAATTCCCATATATATATAAATGTATACATATATTAATATTGTTATTGTTATGTTGTTTAAATATCGAATTATTTATAACTATTTAATGAAATTTAATGAAATATCGGTTTATTTTATATTTATATTATATATAATTATTAATGAAAATAATTGATTATTGATTATGGGAGAAAATAATGTAAATATTTTATTTATGGTGTTTCGTTGGAATAATATGTTATCGAAATTCGTATTTTTGTTTATGCAAAGGGATGTATTTGGGATTATATTTTACTTAATCAAAGGGGGGTGAAATGGCCGAAAAAACGGAATATATATTTCATTAATATTAAATGTAATTTACAAATGATAAATATATACGTAATAATTAAGACGGATACATTTATATTCGGCTCTTATAAGTGTTGACAAAGCGCTAGGCACTGTGCTGCTCTGGTTTGAATTGCGTGATTTTGTTTTGTGCCACATCGTAGGTGATGCCGGTCTATTGCTTCTTATCAATTAATGCCTTCTTTTTTGCGAATTTTGACTTGATTTCTTTGGGAGGATCCGCGAGCTGCTCTTCTCGCATGACATTTTCATTTGATATCCAAAGAGGCACGAAACATCGCGATCTGTTGATCCTTCTGGCGCACGCACTCCCATATGGATTTTCACTATTAATAGGAAATGGGAATTTAAGAAGCGGTGCCATTGCTTGACTTTCTTATCGTTCAGATTCTCGCTTTCAATTCCCAAAATCAATTTGAAATATTCCCTCCTACGATCTTCTGGCTGTATGTACAGGATGACATGGGATCTCATATTTATGGATATATTTTCTGTCCATAATTGGCGATTGATATCACGCCATTCCGATTATCCTTCTTCTTGGAAGACGGCGTCGTAGAGCATGCGTCATCTCTTCTTTTCGCCTTCTGTGCATTCGGACATCTCTTCATCATTCTCAAGGACCAGGTCATTCGCCGTCGTGCCATGGCGCGTTTCAAGGTTATTCTCTCCAACGCGCTCATCAACAATCTCGTCTTCATTCGATGTCATGAAGAGCACACGCACGCTATTGGCGATCTTATAGATCACATTCTTTAATACCTAAGCTGAATCGATCATGCCAAACAGGGAAAATATAAGGAATACGATCAATATATTGACCAAGATATCATCTCTGCCGGACTCTTCCACAATTTCTGCTCCAGGGATGACAGGGTGGTTGCGCCTGCTGCCCAAACCGGGCAAACCAAGCACGAAACGGAAAACACTTGGACCGATTTGCCTGCAACACCCGGTTTATAAGATAACTTCTCATTTTGTTACCCAATAATTGATGTGTTATGTGCTTGATTCTCTCAAATATCTGCCTTTATATGCCTACCTCCCTAACGGGACACCGTTAATTGTCTGCTTAGAATATCCCAATATTGTAGGCAAGTCAGGGACAGACGTCAAGTGCACAGCAAGGATGCAGCGGCCCATGGCCTGATGATTCCATCAATCATACGATTATGGGACAGGGTTATCCAATCCTCTGGATTCTCTGTATGCACTTGATTTTGGTAGACCTGGTCGCGTGATTCTCTTAATATTGATTGCATGATCACATGATAACTTTTGCAAACGACGTGTACCTCCGGTGGCAATTCAAAACGTTGTCCGACGGTCTCGCCGCCCTGTCAGACCTCGAACATATTCAGGAGCAACCTCGATATAAGCGTGATTTTATTCAGGGCTATGGATCGCGGGATACCTCTATTCATCAAGAAATGGATGTATCACCCCAAAATAAGACTCTACCTTGTTTTGCCAGATTCAACATTCAAATTGCCAATGATCTCGAACACATCCTATCTTGGCGTGATCTTGAATTATAGAATATGGGAA